CTCTTCCGGGACACGCGAAAAGACTTTTCCACGATTTCATGTTAACTAATCTGTTTATTCAAGAGGTTAACTCGTATCCTGGGGTATATTTAGCCGGATGAAAACCTCGTACTAACTTTGAGTGTGTATCGGCGTGCCAAAAATAAATAAACCTGGATTACTACAAATGTAACTTTTATTTATGATGCTTGTTTTAATTTACCACTGCGCTCGACGCTTTTAGCATCGTTTACAGGCGTTGGATTGTTTAAATTATGCCTCATAAAGCACATAACTAACAAACCTAATAGATGCCGCACTGGCAATTTGCTTACTTTAATTATACAGGGTGATTCCAAATCGGCTGCAGCTCCTTTAGGGCCCTCGATTTACTACGATTAGCCATATTAATAGAGAATTAAATAGTACGTTTCGGCAATAAAACATTGCTTGGGGAGTTTGGGCAGTCTTTGCATACGGAGCTGGGAATTCAGAACTATCAGTCTTACGCGAGTTTGGGCCACCGGCTTAAACAGGACGGCCCTTTTTCCGTGATGTCTCAAAAACCAGATGAGCTACAAAACTCGTTTTTCCTCCACCCTATAGATATATAAAAACCCCATTCACCAGGTAAAAGCTGGGTTAGGACACTGTGCGAGTTTGAACACAAGAGGAGAACTTCGAGGTCAGACCATCATTTCAAACAGGCCCTCATTTCTTCGCTTGTCTCTCTCTAAGAAATGAATTGAGATTTCTCGCTCTGGTTTGCAGCACTGGATAGAGAATTAACTGGCACATTTACTAAGTAAGTAAATTGCTGGGAACGTAAGGGTAGTTCTGGTACAAACAGCTGCAACTTCAAGCAGTTTGTTTCTTGCGCGGGTTTAGCAAAATTAGGCCAACGGCTTAAACATGGCGCGGTATTTTTCGTGATATCTTAAAAACCACTTAAGCTGCAAATTCTGTTTTTTTCCATTGCATAGAAAATTAAAATCCCCATTTACCCAGTCCAACTTCAATTAGGGGGCATTGGCAGTTTTCCCTCAAAAACCGCACTTCTAGGGCCAAGATAAGGCAAAAGTTTCATAGTTCACGCCACCTTTTTGCCCATATCTCTTGAACGCATGGCGCCCAAGCGCTCTTTTTCACAAATTTTACGGAGAATTGAATTACACAGAAACGTAGGTAAAAATACTATGCAAATTAAGGCAAAAAAAGGGCAGTTTTAACAACAATTCTGGTCTACGGGGTTGAAGCAGAATTAGTTCGTCGGCTTGAGCCTGGCGCCGCTTTCTTCATCTAGTGCCGGTTTTTGCGCCGGAACGGAAAGTGAAGTGGAATAAAACACTCCAAACGTCAGAAAGTTTTATTAAAATACACCAGAAAATTGCCCACATAAATCAACCAACTAATCTTAAGCCAGCGGTAGGAAGATCGGGTAATTTTCAAGGCTCATTTCTTCCTCAAGTTCCTCCGCCCGCTCCACCTCACACTCCGTGCTCATTCTCCTTGTCTGTCCCCCTGTTTCTGCACACCCTGTTATCCAGCTTGCTGCCGCCACTGTAGTGCTGGCAACATTCCGCCAGACTTTTTCCTTCGGTTTCCGGCAGCAGAAAATACAGGGCCAGAATGCCGCCCACTGCCACGCCACTGTAGAACAGAAAAACTCCCGGCAAAGTGACGGCACTGACCATCTGCTGGAACGTTTTACTGGCCAGAAACCCTATCAAGTATCCAATGGCGGCTGATAATCCGGTGGCCGTATCGCGGATTTCGTTGTGGTAGATTTCGCCCATTAAGATCCAGGGCAGCCCGAAAACAACCAGGTAGCTGAAGAAGCCCATTCCCATCAAAGCAACCATCGGTATCCAAGAGGAGGTGGACGCGGCAGCTGAGCTGCTGAAGAAGTAAATGTCGTTGAGGAAGCAGTAGCTGGCGGTGATAATGAAGCAAAGGCTGACGCCACTTAAGGCTATGAAGGCCAAGAGTCGCTTCCCGAAGAATCTGAGGATGATGGCGCATAGGATGGTGGCAATCAGGTTCAAGCTCCCCATCAGCACTGTAGCGTAATAGGAGCTGAGGGGAACCTGCAGGAGATTGAAGATCTCCACTGCGTAAGCAGTAACGGGCGTCAGCCCGAAATAAGCGGTCACAAAAGTGAGGGCGATCAGCAGGAAGGGCTTGATGAATCGCCCCTCCATGTAGAGCTGGAGGTTGCTCCTCCAGGTCCGGTTGGAGTCCTCCTGCGCGCTCACCTCGATGCTCTTGCGGATTTCCTGAAACTCCTTCTCCACCTGCTCCGTGCTGGTCCAACCTGCAAAACCCCGCAGAAGTTCGATTATGAGACACAAAAACCTCACGAAAAATCGTCGCCTATTCACCTCTGAGCCACGCAAGGCTTTTCTGCGCCTCTTCCATACGATTCTTCGAGACCAGCCAATAGGGCGTTTCAGGGATCAGCATCAGCAGGACCGTGCTGACCAATGGAATCACCGCATTGATCAACGCCAGCGTCCTCCAGTGGAAGAAGGTGCCTCCAATGAACGAGAACAAAATCCCCATTGAAATAAACAGAGTGCCGCTGGAGGTTAAACCTCCACGCAGAATCGGTTCGGAGACTTCTGCTGAATAGCTGACGCCCTGAAATTCGTTTTGGTGCACTCTAGTTTGGGAGGTAAAACAGCAGAACTTACTGGTGACTCTGCAATTCCTCCAGCAGTGCCAGTAAGGCTCAAGCCGAACAGAATCTGCCAAGGTTTGGAGGCAAAGTAGAACAATGCAAAGGCCACGGAAAAGGGCACGTTTACCGCCTGAAGGGCTCTTTTCCTCCCTATTTTCTGCGCCACTTGTCCGGACAGCAGGCAGCCGAGTGGCACGCACAAGTTGCTCATGGAAGCTGCAATGGAACCTTCACTATCTCAGCTAAATTGCACCTGAATCCGAACGAACCTATCCAAGATATCCCTGTTTCATCCATCGACAGGGATTCATCTTGATTATTTCCCGATAGAGCCGGGATTAGAATAGTGGGCATCCCCATGGTGGTTCCATAGACAAATAGCGACGAGTTTTTGATGATAACGGCGATTATTTGCGGCAGGAACCGTTGGAAAGTCGACACTTTTCTGGAAAATATTCATACAGAGTTGTAGGTTTGGAACCGTTTTGCTCCAGCTTCCACCAAATGCAGTAAAACAATTACAATGAGGATTAAATGTTGTAGTTTTTTGTGATCCTTTTACGACTTAATTAACGAGTGTAATCGCATTTGGAAAATTGTCTTCGATTGCTTGATTAAACTGGAGGAGACGTAGTAAATCGCTGTTTACAACTGTTAGAAAGTATGGGCAGAAAACCTGCAAAGTGGGCCAGTTTTCTCTTATCGGTTGGTGAGACTTGAAGAAAACTTTCAAAAATCAATTTAAAACAATTACAAAGTGTGCGCTAGAAATTGATTGATTTCGTTGATTGTTGAATGAATCTCTAAGAAAACTTCCTTTGCGTTGAAACCAACAAGAAACGCTTCCTGTGCGGCTGTTTTCTTTGATCGCGTGATAAAAGTCGACGAAAACTAAACGGAAATCCATTTGAAACTAAAAAAACTTTAAAATATTGTTCAAAAAATCATCCAAAACTGCTTAAAAATCTGCCTGTTGAAAGCTCCTAAGAAAACATGTTATTGTGGGCCGGGTTTCTTTTGATTGTTTGAGGAAAATCGAAAGAAACTTTCGGAAAAACCCATTGTAAACTTATGTAAAGCCTGCGCCGTGAACAATCTGAAAACAAACAGAAAAACTTTAAAGTGGATTAGTTTTCCTTGATCGCTTGATGAAAGCCGAAATAAACTATTTGGAACTCAAACTAACCGAAAAACTTTCAACTTTTGTTGAATACACTTAATGAAACTGGTTTTTTTGTTAGAAATCAACTGAAAACTGCTAAAAATCTACTCGTTGGAAGCTCGATTGAATCCAACAGGAAAACTTTATTGGGCGCAAGTTTGCTTTAGATTCTTTCAGGAAACCCGAAGAACATTTTCAGAAAATCCATGTAAAACTAGATGAAAATCCTGGGCATGAAATGATCCATTTAAATCAACAATAAACCTTTAAAGTGCTGCGGTTTCTTCTGAAAGCCGATGAAAACTATTTGTAAATCAATTTAAAAATTGAAACCAACAGCGCAAAACTCGAAGAAAACTTATTAAAAATCTACACAAAACTGTTGAAACAGCAGATAAACTTATCTTAAGAAACCAACAGGAAAACTTTATTGGGCGCAACTTTGCTTTCGATTCTTTCAGGAAACCCGAAGACAATTTTCAGAAAATTCATGTAAAACTGACGATAATTCTGGACACAAAATGGTCCATTTAAATCAACAAAAAACCTTTAGAATGCGGCGGGTTTTTCCGATTGTTTGTCGAAAGCGGAAGAAAACTATTTGTAAATCTATTTGAAATTGAAACCAACAGCGAAAAACTCGAAGAAAACTTATTAAAAATCTACACAAAACTGTTGAAACAGCAGATAAACTTATCATAAGAAACCAACGGGAAAACTTTATTGGGCGCAACTTTGTTTTCGATTCTTTCAGGAAACCCGAAGACAATTTTCAGGAAATCCATGTAAAACTGACGATAATTCTGGACACGAAATGGTCCATTTAAATCAACAAAAAACCTTTAGAATGCTGCGGTTTTTTTCGATTGTTTGCCGAAAGCGGAAGAAAACTATTTGTAAATCTATTTGAAATTGAAACTAACAAGAAAAACACGAAGAAAACTTATTAAAATCCACTAAAAACTGTTGAAACAGCAGATACACCTTATTGTACACCAGTGATTGCTTGGGGAAATTTGAAGGAAATTTTTGAAAAATCCTTTTAAAACTGAAGAAAAGTCTGCACGTTAAGAGATCCACTTAAAACAACAGAAAACTTTAAAGTGCGACTGTTTTTTTTAAGTCGAATAAACTTTAGGAAAATTCTAAAAACTGATACCAACAGATAACTTTAGCATGAGTTAACTTTATTTCACTGCTTAATGAAACTGGAACTTATTGGAAATTCACTAAAAACTTGTGGGCCAGTTTCTCGTTTGACTGCCTGAGGTACTCAAAACTTTTAAAAAAATTGTTAAATCTGAAGAAAAGTCTGCACACTAAAAGGTTCATTGCAACCAACCGAAAAACTTTGAAATGCGGCGGTTTTCTTTGACTGCTTGCTTAAGCTCGAAGAAAACTATAAATGCGCTCAAAACTGTAAAAAAACCTTCCTGTTAAAAGCTGTATTGAAACCAACAATAAAATGTATTGTGCGCCGTGATGAAACCTACAGAAAACTTTCTAGGCACACCGGTTTTCGTTGATTGTTTGCTGAAACTCGAAGAAAACTTCCCACGTTTCTCTTAAAACGAAAAGTGAGAGTTAGAAGCTGCACACTTTAAAGGGTTTTGGTAGGTACCAAAACCCTTTAAAGCGTTAGAAAATGTGGAAAATTCGTTTAAAAAATACATAAAAACCGCCACTTTGAGAGCAAAGTTTCCCAATCAAATGAAACAAAATCAGGGGCAGCTACTTACCTAGTGAATTCAACCATTGCTGATCACTCACATCACTGTTAATAAACTTAAAATTTGGCAGCGAAAAAATCACCGAGCATAATTAAATAAAAGGAACTGATAACGCTTTCAGATTGAATGAAATAAAAGTCGCATTTATTACGATTTTAATCCCGTTTTGCAATTCAAAAGGCTCAGAACGTGTACAAAGTCAGATGAATACAACAAAGTTGCTGAGAATTCATAGATAATGCGCAACTGATTGTTGAGGGAATTTGAACGAATCAACCGAACCATCGATTTGTTTGGCACCAAATATTTAAACAATTAATCGTCTTGATGGGGAACCGTTCAAACAAGGGTCGGAATTAAATGTAAACCATTAACTGCCAGATAAAATTGAAATAATCTTGGACATTATTTAAGTGTATTAAATTGCCGATAAAAGACCAGGAGATTTGTTGCGCTAAAGTCCAAGTGATGGACACAATATTCGGACACCCACTGAAACAGCCATCGATTTGCCCTCGTCTTTGGATCAAGTGAATTTAAGAAAACTGGTAAAACTCACCCACAGCATCCCAAATTCTTCCAAAGCAGCTTCATCTTACGACTGCGCCCAGTCTATATAGAAGCGATTGCAATCAAAACCATGTCAATTATCACAAAACCAGCAAATTGAGCCAACGACCGTAACGATAAAATCAGCAACTTCGTAAACACACTGGGATTTTTCAAGTGATTTTCAGTTTTCCGTAACCTGATACGTTTGTTCAATCGCCGACTTCAAACTACGGTTGTTTATTTCCCATTTGTTGCTAGTTACCTTGTATAAGCATTTTTTAATTGTTGTAATCCGGCATTTTAATGGGACATTGTTCGGCCTGAACCACCGCTAATTAACATTGTAAATACCGATGGTGATGAGACCCAAACTGAGCCAAACCGGAGTCGACTTTTCCGCAATTTTGCATCGATTTTTTGCAAAAAGTGGTGTTTTAGTGCAGCAAACTAAAGGTGAAAAACATAGCGGCAAGTAAACGGTAAATGGTGTGCTTAATGCAACATAGCGCAGCCTTGCACAAGGATTTTACCAGACAATTTTCAGCGTACTTTCGCAGTTTATGCACTTTATTAAATCTCGACGAAGATGTGTTTTGTGCACTATTGCTCTAAATGAATCCTGACCAGGCATTTTTTCGTTCAGGAAATTCTTGTGCGGCAACACTTTCCAAGGCGTTATTTTGCCTGGAAAGCCACCGAACTTAAAATGAGCATATTTTTTCTTCTAACTTTGAAACGGTGAGGAGTAAATAGAAATTTGTAGCTCGTGAGAATCTCCATCGAAAAGGCCCAAAACAGCTTTTCGATATTTGCAATCCCTTTTGAGATATGATCGAAAATGCCCCAAAATTGCTCAAAATTTGGATTCACCTACTTTACGGTAAGGACGCCTCAGAACAAAAAAATAGACAACAAAACACTCCATCAACCTGCCCGGACATGCTTAAACTTAGTCATAACCTGAAAACTATATATTTTCTCCCCTAACTCGGAAACGGTAGAAAATTGCGAAAAAAGTCTAATAAAATATCGATAACTCTTGGAATTTTCTATCGAAATAATATTAGTGATTTTTTCCCAAATCACAACCGTTTCTGAGATAGGAGCAAAAATGTTCAAGAATTGCAGAAAATTTGCGTTTGCCTTTTTAAAGGTTAGGAATTTCGCTTGACACTTCAGGGAACGAAAACCAGATATCAGTGTGCCCTATCAAAAAGGTCCTGTGGACTTTTTGATATTTTCAACCGTTTCCAAAATATGACTGCTTAAACTTGAACATAACATAAAAATTCCACATTTTCGCCCCTAACTTGGAAGCAAGAAAAAAATTTGGAAAAAGTCTAATGAAAAATCAATAACTATTGGGGTGTTCTATCGAAAAGCTTCTGATAATTATTTCCATATTCAGAACTGTTTCTGAGATATGAGCAAAAAAGCTGAACAATTGCATAAATCTTGCGTATATCTTTATAAAGGTTAGGAATTTCGCTTGGCGCTTAAGGAAAACAAATAGATATTAATGCGTTCTATCAAAAAGATTCTGGGGACTTTTGAGATCTTTTGAGACGTTTTCGAGAAATAAAATCTTAACCTTGGAATTTTTACTTTTTTCTCCTTACTTGAAAAGGGTAACAAATTCCGAAAACATTCTAACTACTGATTGACAACACTCGACGATCTCTATCAAAAAGTTCCCGGGGATGTTTTCATTATGTGAACCGTTTTTGAGATATGAGCAACAATGCTTCACGCCTAAGAAGGAAAATGTCGAGTATCAACTTTTGAGGTATTTTCAACCGTTTCCGAGATATAACCTCTTCAACTTGAAAAAATTACATTTTTCCTCCTAACTTCGAAATACAAAGGAATTTTGAAAATATTCCAACTATTAGTGCATAACACCCAATAATTTCTACGAAAAGTTTTCAGTAATTTTTCGAAATTGTCCACCGTTTTTGAGATATGAGCTAAAATGTGCCCAAAATTCGCGTCTACCCTGTGAAATTGCGAAGTAAATTAAACCGTCTCAAATTTCTCCTCCGATCTCTTTAAGGCTTGAGAATTATTATAAACCTTCAAGGCCAAAAGGTAGATCTCGAAACGGACTATTGAAAAGGTCATTAGCAGTTTTCCAATATTTTCAACCATTCCCTAGATATGAGCTTTCAAAACTTTCGAACGGAGCGCGTCCTTAAGTAGGTCAAACGATCCTTGCTTGCGCAAGAAAAGGCGTCTTCGTTTTATATTCACCATAAATGAAAAATATCTGATATTAGAGACACTTTTGCTTTGAACAAACTTTTAGTTGTAATTAAATTCCTTACCAGTAGCGGCCCTTTTGGGGGCACAGCCCACATTTAATCCACACACTGGAGGAAAAACAGTCGCGCATATCGAAAAATATGTGTTATTATTGTCGTTTTAATGAAAACTATCTGATTTCGATGAAATCTAAAGATTTACAAACGAGTGATTCAGCCAGACGTCGTCCTTGATACACCTTCTGCAGTTAATGAAGCTGATACTTCCAAGGTGGTCACCAAATACACAGAGTGTTTCCATTTACAGCATCTTTACACCCCCAGGGATTTGCTACTGTACGCCACTGGCGGGCTGTTAACCCCTTATTTGCTATGCGAGTCGATTTAGAAACTTTTTCTCCCTTTATATTTATTTTGTATTATTTTATATTATTTGAAAAATAATGCCAGAATACCCTCCCGCTGTTCCTGCGCATTCCTAGTCATTATTGGCTATAACTCAAAAGCGCCAACAGATACAAAAACATTCTAGAGGGGAAAAATATTGTGAATTAATCAGGGAAAGTTTTCTAGGGATCAGCGACCAGCAGGGGCGTAGAGTACAAAGTTTTGGGCAGGCGAAAAGAGAAATTAGCCACTAATAAGTGCACAAGAGCATCCAATATTGGCAATTAGGATAAATTTGTCGAAATACCGGAGAGAACGTTCTCAAATTGCTTCGAAAAACTCAAGTAAGACTTTTAGAGATTTTTTTAAGAGATTTTATTTAAATACAAGGAAATTTGAAATACCCGCGCACATTTCGAACGGATTTGGCAAGGTTGGTAGTAGTGGCTTTTGACAAGAAATCGGCATCTGCCAGCATTCCTTTTTCGTGTTGCATGTTGTGAAGCACGTGTGAAAAATGAGGTTTGTACTATTAATTTCGTCTATTTCTGCCATTGTGTCCAATTTCCCCCTTATCTTCCTTACCCTATCCCCCAACACCGTTTCTATATGCAAATTAACCGATTCCCTCCAGGGCTGCGCCCCCCACATTGTTACTTGAAAAAGCAGGCTTTCAATGATTTTAACGCTTTCAATCCGTTTTCCACAGTTCTCTCAAGTTACAAAAGAGGCTGGCAGCCTCAGTATTGCGTTGCGGCAAGAAAAAAGTATGGTTAGATCCCAACGAGATCAACGAAATTGCCAATACTAACTCCAGGCAGAACATCCGGAAACTCATCAAAGATGGGTTGATCATTAAGAAGCCTGTGGCGGTCCACTCGAGGGCTCGCGTCCGCAAAAACACCGAAGCTCGTAGAAAGGGGCGACACTGCGGTTTTGGAAAAAGGAAAGGTACCGCCAACGCTCGTATGCCCCAAAAGGTAAAATCCTCACTCAATCTTGTTCAGTTTTAATATTATTTTCCTGGTGTATTGCAGGAATTGTGGATCCAACGAATGAGGGTGCTGAGGCGTCTGCTGAAGAAGTACAGGGAGGCGAAGAAGATCGATCGTCATCTGTACCACTCGCTCTACATGAAGGCTAAGGGAAATGTCTTCAAGAACAAGAGAGTCCTGATGGAATACATCCATAAGAAGAAGGCTGAGAAGGCCCGTGCCAAGATGCTGTCTGACCAAGCCAATGCCAGGAGGCTAAAGGTAAGCTCGAGTTTCCGCATTTTAACCGGTCTCTTCACATATCTGCTTACAGGTGAGACAAGCGCGCGAAAGGAGAGAAGAAAGGATCGCCACCAAGAAGCAGGAAGTTCTACAGAACTACCAGAAGGAAGATGCAGCAGCATAAACAGAACTGTTGCTGCTGCATCTTCCTGAGATCAGTTGAAGAACCAGACTTCTAGTGTGGTGATTTTTCCAATCTTTGGACTTAGTTTATAAAATAAAACGTTATAAGACTTGTAACTTTTTTTTATTAAAATCCTTAAAAGGTCGAGACATTGATGGGTTGAGACACTGTTTCCACTTCATACTCGATCTCCACTCTGGGCCTTCGGCCCTTTTTGGGCGGAGGTGTTTTGGGTTTCTTGCCCTTTGAGGCTCGTGCAGTGGGCTTGACAATGTCCTGAAATGCCTGTTTTTTTACACAAATCAGGCTGCAAGCCGGTTTACGTACCTCAATGTCTGAGCCATCTGAGGACTCGAAGCTGCTGTCCAAATCGATGTCTTCTGGCTGCCCACTGTCGCTTTCCTGAAAGAACACCGAGAGTAAATTAAGAAATTGAGGCAAAATTTTGAGTCTTACAATGTCGCTTTCGTCATCTGAATCTGCGGCCACAAACTCCGGTCCTTCGTTTTCAAGTTCTTCCTCAATTTCCATCTCGTTCTGATACTCCACTTCGTCCTCCACCTCGTTCTCCTCCTGGGCAGTCTCAAAGGCCGTCATGGGAATATTGTACAAATCCTGGTACTAAAACCCCGCGGTTGATCGAGCGAATCTGAGTAAAAAGGCCGGGACTTACCACTCCCTGCTTTAGCCGGTCCAAGAGAGTCTTCTCCACTCCTTTTTCAATCCTGGCAGCAATCAGAGCTTTTTCCTCTCTCCTCTTTTCGCGCCTCTCCACGTTTCTCTGGATGGGCACCAGCAATTTTCTACAACAACGCCAATGAAGCCCGTTTTATTTGGGGCGCAACCCGCTACTTACTGCCTGCGAAGCTTCAGCTTCCTCATTCGTATCAAATACTGGGTGATTTTGACGAACCGCTGCTTGCACTTGGACTTGATGAACCCCGGCCAGTAGAGCAAGTTCTCATTGATCTGATGAATGGATTTTTCAAAGTTCCGGGACAGTTTCACTTTGGACCACAGTTTCCGTGGAAAAGCGCTCCTGAAAATCTACAATTAGCCCCAACTTTCCATCCCTTCCCACTAAAGCACCTTTCCGCTGTCTTCATGTAAAGGTAGATAATGCCCTTGTCTTCTCGAACTGTTGCATATTGGCTGTTTGCCAGGGGGCATGATGATCGGTTACACAAACCTGTTAAGTTGTACTCGTTGCGGCAAAGCCTCTGTGTTTTAGTGCTGGAATGGATGGAAGGCGTTAGATTGTTATGGCCAGCTGCACTCGTGTGGGTGGTGAACTTACTTTATTTTGTATGAACAAAACGACTTGTTGATGATGCTCCACACAACCTGAAACGTCGATTATGTCAACTGCATGTTTGGGGGCACATTCGGACTTGGATTAATGGATACTTACATCGTCGTGCTGCATTTTGTGTCTTTAAATAAGCCAGGCGAAAGCGAAAACGATTCACAAAATCACTAGTGTGTGGACGATTAACCCAGGATTAACCTAAGAAAACATGCCGTCTGTCCGGAGGTTATGTTCTACTAGAGCATAGAACAAGGCTTATTACTAGTACTAGAGTCCCAACTACCATAGATGAAGACAACTACTACTCTTCAATCTACGGTGTTGCCACAATCCCAACACTGCAATTAGGCAACTCGTATATGATATTTTATTTTCTCTATGGTTTGGTTATGTGCACTGTCTTTATCTGATGTTTATCTGTGCTGTTGATTCTTATGCTTGCGATTGCGTGCAAACGAATATTTATTTTCATAAACTGAACACCTTTTGTTAGTCATTAGCGAAATATGGATCCCGTTGATTCCGCTTTTTGTGTGTGTAATGACTGCAAACATGTTTTTAAGCGATTCCATGACTTGAGAAAACATGTGAAAAAGTTTCACGCAGATAAATTAGAACAATTGGCTCCTTTGAATGTGAAGTCTTATCAATTTCAGTGTACTGTGTGTCAAAATTCATTTCATTCATTTAAAACTCCATACCGCAATCGAAAATGGTAAGTAAGAAAACCAATACACTTAGATATACAGGGTTGCTCATTAGTGCGTCAAAGTGCGATATCTCAGTAAATATGAAGTTTACAAGAAAATTCGTCCAACGAAAGTTTTTCACGTTTAAAAGGTCCACATTCTAAAATTACTTTCCAATATACAGGGTGCATCATAAACGTGTGGTAGTTACCAACTCTGGTTTTTTAAATGAAACCCCCTCTTTTTTTTGTTATTTTCAGATTGGCCGTTCAATTTTAATTTATGTTTGTTTCAACCGTTTTACCTGAAAAATTTACGATTTCCGAGTTATTCGTAAAAATGTGAAAGTTTTGACAGCTACTGGGTTCCACAGAAATCGATGCTGTACACTAC